CTTTTGACCTAGATTATTTCTAATTAAACCTTCGGGACCTATCGGGGAGAAGTTCGTTACCTTTTTACGCCCACGGTTCTACCCCCCCCCCCCCCCCCCCCCCCTAAACAAAATTTGAAGGATTCTACTAATGTTCCCGGTAGCCATCGTAATATCTTGTTTTTGAGTTCTTTAAATGTCTTTCCCTGCAGTTATGTTGTTGATGCTGCTGATCATGATAATGTTAGTATTTCAAGAAGTGAAATCCATGACCTGCTGAGCAAGCCATCATTGAGTGGTATTCCGTTGCTGGTATTGGGTAACAAGATTGACAAGCCTGAAGCTCTCTCCAAGCAGGCTTTGACTGATCAGATGTAAGCAGATAAAATTCCACGAGCAAAAAATGTTGTCTTTTTTCATTTTGGCTAATTGGTTGAAAAAGCTTGTGGTAGGAAGCGTACTCCACCGCATTTCCTTCTGTTCCTGTTTTAGTTTTGAACAGGACGAGACTTATCCCTCGTGCTAACCCTCCCTTTTTTTTTTTTGTCTTTTCTATTTTTACTTCAATGAGACATTGAATTACATGTTTTCTTCATTTGGAGTCTTTTCTGAATGATCTGTTATATTGCAGGGATTTGAAATCTGTAACTGATAGAGAGGTATGTTGCTATATGATCTCATGCAAGAATTCCACCAATATTGATTCAGTCCTTGATTGGCTTGTTAAGCACTCAAAATCAAAGAGTTAAGCATAATACCCTTCTTGTACTCAGTTTGTTGAATTTGTGAGGCTATTCCTGCTGCTGCTTTTTCCAGAGTTCTCTTGTATGTAAATTATTTTTCTTTTCCCAATTGAAGGAGTTGTATTGTATTTTAGTTTGTGATTGTCTCAGCCTGCAATTGTGAATGCCTCTTCCCTCTTATGGAGTGATTCGCTAATGTGTTTTGAGAGGTACTTCACTGATTAATTAGAAGGAACTAAATTGATTTGATTTTCCTGCTTGTGTACAATAGTCTCAGTTGTTGATGTCAAATTACATGTATATCGACTTATGCGAGCTTGAATTAATCAGAGTAAATTGCCCTTAGGCCTTTAGTAATACAATGCATGATGTGTGGATGAAGCACACATCATAGTTCAAACGCATACAAAACTTGGTATTTAAGTGGAAAAGGGTAAAGGAGCGAGCCCATTATCTATGGAGTTTTAAACCGTGTGTGTGAGCAACTTCTTGCCCCCTTGGAATGACATTGATTCGTTTCCTCTGCTTGAAAAATGAGCTTTTGGATTATGTGGCAGTAATGGATGCAAGACAAATGAATATACTTAGCCTGTCCTTTCTTTTGTTAAATCTTCGGCATCTTCTAATAAAAATCACTAATTTTTTAACTTTTTCCAGTACGAATTCCAGAGATAGTTGAATGCAAAAGATCACAGTACCGCTTCAAAAACTTTTAAAGAAACAGTTTTGGATTTAGCAATTAATTTCACAGAGTGCACGATTTTAAGCTAAAACAAAATGTTACTCCACACGTTCGGCCATAAAAGTGTAACCTCTACGTAGATAGAAACCTTAACAAATGTGTTAATGTTGAATTAGACAATTCATTTGAAGCATAGTAACAGCCTGCAGCTTAGGACGATTAATAACAACAAAAAAAATTTGACCTAAAAGAATGAAAAAAACTCATTCCAGAATCAACAACAAAAATTAATATCTCCATGCAGATTTAGACTTAAATCAAATAGAGACAAGCATGCCTTATAAGGCAGATAATGTTACATACCTGGGAAAGTAAAATTTTATCTTTATAATAATTTTACAGGCACTATTTTACACTTCTTTGCTATGATTCTTACACTTAAACTGTCACAGAATAACAAGGATTGTCCATTAAATCCAGCTTATTACAGAGGCACTACATATACAATCAGAAACCCCTTGTGTTCTTATGAAAAAGGGCTATCAAATCGTATACCACTCCTATCAGGTAGCAGCTTCTTCATGTAATACTTTGACCTACGAGAAAGATTGATCTTTTTCCTTCTTTGTGCTGGTATATGGTCGATGGAACATTCAGAAAAGCCACGCCTCACAAACCTGTGGAGAGAAACACATACATGGACATCAAGTACAGACCGATGGTCAATAATATTTTTCTTGTTCAACGACCTAATTCAATCTCAACATTGAACATGTTATGAATCAAACTTCAATAGAAATACGTGAGGTCTTTTTGTATAAGCCTATCAAGAATTGGAACTCATCAAAAGTTAAAAAAGAAAGAAAGAAGGTCTACTAAGGACTGGGAATTGTAAAATAGTTTAAATAATTAGAGGGGCGGTTTTGCACTCAGTATAAACTGGATATAAGGTCACTATAATTCAGCCAATGTGCACATATTGAATAAAAATGGACAATAGAAGGAAATTTGATCAATGACATACATGGCAGAAGAGAAGAAAAAGAAAAGAAAAACATGCTATTTTTTTTTTGAGATGGGCAAAAAAAAAAGAAAAACATGCTATTAGATAATTATTTGTTAGATAGTAGAACACTAGAAGTGCTCTCTTTTAACATGGAAGTGTAGCTCATCCGAATACAATACCTCAGTGAGAATTCATCTTATCCTACTTTGGGTAATTGAGTACTTTGATTTGAGCATCAGACGAATTTTAGATTGAGGGCATTTGGCACCACTTTATAAATAAATAACTTGATAATAACAAGGTAAAGTTTTTCATTATTATTTGACAAGTGCTGTAACTCTACTTAAAACAATAAAAACTACACATTCTTTTATCTTCTACAAAAATTCCAACTTTAAATTCTCTTCATAAAATGTATAGTAAAAAAAATAATGTTTGAGCAGATCATATTAATGCGACTTTGAACCATAATCTAACAGGTAATAAACAAGCGTCCATAAAGGAGCCAACATATCCAATTTTAGTATTTATTTCTTGGCAAGAGTTGCAGGTACTTCACATGTACCTAAGACTTACATGTTGCTTCTTGAGAGTGTTCATGAATCCTAAATAGTAATAATAAGAGTCAATCAAAAGAAACACCTTTTTCCCTTTTTGATTCTCTTTACCTTGAAATAGCATCTTAGCTTTATCTCCTTGTTGAGATGACTAAGGACCTACATTCTCAAATTCAGTTTAATTATTGCTGCCTTTGTCCATTGCATTTTGGTTCAGCAATCAATATTCACTTGCCCAATAGGACGAACAATGTATATATTGGCCAGGGTACAGGAAAGTGGAAAGGAACGTACCAATCAGCTGTGCGAGTTGTAAGGAGGAATAACATTTGCAATCCAATGGCAGATGCCTTCTTCTCAATGTAATCTGCAAGTGTTTTTTTTCGGAATAGAAAGTTATTGGCTATTAAGCCCGGAATGTTAATTTAGACCAAAAAGTACAAGGACACCAACTGTGTTTAGGTAGATTCGGAAGTAAACATTGAGTTCTCAACTAGAACTCAAATTCTTCAACAAAACGCCAGACCAAAAAAGCACGACTATGAGAAATTAGTTCTCAACATGTTTCCAAGTAAATCAATCAATAGGCACAAGCAGACACATTCAGCATATGGATGTTGGTAGTAATACCATCAACATGACCATATGCAAATTGTTTGTCTTTATCACTAAAATTTTAAGCTCCCTCATTATCTTCTTACAATTTGGACCAATTTTATAAAAGTTACAAACTTCTAGTTTGAACTTAGACAAAATTAAGGATCATGGGTCGGAAGGGCAGATAGTATCTATCTTTGGACAGATTGCTATGTTTCTTGACAACTGAAAAAAGAAAAATGCTTAGACCCATCATGCTGTTATTTGAAAGCTATGTTGCGCGGACAATCCAAAATAATGCCGCACCCGTGTCAGATCCTCCAAAAATACACTACTTTTGGAGGATCGGACATGCACCCGGCAATATTTTTGGAGAGTCCAAGCAGCATAGTTTGAAAGTGCTTATTCCGAGCATTAAGCCGCTTGGTGGATACACATAATACCAAGAAGTACACAAAATTAAAGTGACTTCTTTTACTACGTGCTTATCCAAGTGCCTAGAGGCTTCAGGAAATATCTTAAACTTCACAAGGACTAAAGCAACTTCGTAAAGACTGAAGCAATTGTTGTGATTTCTCTTGTTAATGCATTTGCAACTTCATAAGGACTAAAGCAAATAATCACAACATCCTGAAACTGCCTATATGCATAATATATTGTGAAGAAAAATGGTTTTACAATGAGAAAAGAGTCACTATACCAAGTAATTTGTCTCCCTGTCCTTGGCCACGACAATCAGGAGAAACGGCAATAGCAGCAACCTCTCCACATTTTTCCTCAAAGTGAGGAAAGAGAGCAGCACAAGCTATAACATGGCCTTCTCTCTCCACAACAATGAATGAGTGCAATGAATCCACCAGCTAGAAGTAGAACAAGTTAAAAACACGCAATTATGAAAAAAGAAAAAAGATATACAAACATTAACCAAAATATAAGCTGATTTAATAACTATTAGAATATAATCTGTAACCTCTTCCTCACTCCTTCTGATCAATGTTCCCGCGTCTTCTAGAGGTTGTAATAATTGTTTGATCCCGGGAATATCTGACAGCCTAGCCATTCGTGTTCCTTCATAAAGATCACTGAGGAAGAGAGATTCATGCACATCTTAGTTGAAGGATAGTCATAAAAGGTATAGCAAATATCAACTAACTATAACAACAACAACAACAACAACAACCCAGTGAAAATCCTACAAGTGGGGTCTTGGGAGGGTAGGATGTACGCAGCCTTACCCCTACCCTGGGAGGGCAGAGACACTGTTTCCGATAGACCCTCAGCTATCGGAAACTGCGAATACAACTGTTAATTCTAGAGATAAGGCGATCATGAACTTCTTTGGTTAGAAATATAATGTCAAATTGGGAGGGATCAGAAACATGCAGATTCTCACTGCTCGTGGAGTTCTATACATCAATGTAAAAGGAGGTTCGGTTTATTTTAGCAACATAAGTAGCTGGCTAAACATCTCAAGAAATTCTGGAAATGACTTTTAATGATCATACACCAAATCATGGAGATTGACGGTGCAAAAACTAAAAGAAAAGTGAATCCGTTGATCAACTTAAAGAGGAAACAATGAAAATGTGGAAAACTGAATCAACATGCCTTGACTGAAATTACAATCAATATTCATCAAGATTTGCATACCTAGCTACCATTGTCCCAACTCCATCTCTTTGGAACAATTCCTTTAGTAAAACTCCACCAATAGTACCATCCAGCAGGTGAACTCTTTGAACACCTCCCTGATGGCAAATGGAGTACATAATTGGCAAAAGTTTTAACCAATAAGCCAATATAGATATCATACTGATAAACGAGGTGTCAATTTATTAGAGACATGACAATTCCTCAAGTGAAGAAGTGAGATGAAAGATCACAGTGAAAGTTGATATTTACTAGATACCGCAAACCATATAGACATAGCATTTAGCATGTAGTGGGGACATGAAACCAGTTAGATATTCTGTAAATATTACATAATCTCAACTGCACAAGCTATTAAATAAGTTTTACAGCAAAGAGAAGATGTCTTCCAAAATCTACCCCTTTTTCCATCAAGGATCAAGTTTAGAGATATGCAATTTTCTGTTGTATAATAAGGGTTTGGGTAAATAACATGACAATTATTGTCCAGTTTAGACAATTTTATGAATCTGCAGATATAGTGATTAGACAGCCAGGATCTTACCCTGCACACAAAAGCAGCTGCAGCTAACTCTGAAAGATAACCATTTAATCGGCTTAGCCTCTCTTGTCCTCCAATGGCAAAACCCTGTTCACTAGACCAAAGCCCATTCCCATTGTCAAAACCAACACCGTTCTGAAATGTGACACTGTATTGTTGGCTAAAACCATTCATATTGTACGAGATTGATCCATTGGAACCATTGTGACCTAAACAATTGAAGTCCTCTTGACTGACAGCTTTTACATAATTAGCTGCTGTCTCACTCTGCTCTGCTCGTTTGCGAACCAGCATGTCAGCATCTTGAAGAGTTAAGAAACGAATAAGACGGCCAGACTCATCCAGAATTGGACCATCTATAATACAAATCAGTTTTTCTGCTCCTAGAGCCAATGCACAAGCTGTAGCAACTTCATATGTGCTTCAATAAAATAGAACACGTTGTCAGTCTTAAAACTCGAGGATAAATAAAGAAGGAATGAGAAAACATATCGACAAAACATTGGCTCTTGATTGAAGTGTCAGGAATGTTGTATACTGAGCATCTAAGTTTAACCAATCAGAAATTGCTTATAGAAAAAACAAAACTTGTTACACATTACGAACTGTAAGATGAAGTAACTCGGGATGGCATCATGAAACAGATGACCACTGTGTAATACAAGTTGAGTTCCCAAGAATAGTAGATTGATTTAAAAGACAAGCATTCACACCGAGGGCTGTGACACACAAACATATCCACAAAAAGCTGACTCAGGATTGTAGTCTCAGAAAAATGTTTACTGAGCATCTAGCTTAACTGAAACTGTTTATAGAAAAATGAAAAAATAGTACATATTTAAGAACTAAAACGAAGTAATCTCTGCAGACAGATGACCACTGTAAGCTAAGTTCCCAAGAATAACATACTGATACAAAAAATAGCATTCCAACATAAAATCGTGAAATTATTGGCTTTTATCCGTAATTAGGGATTGTCTAGTGCTAAGCTAATTTTAACTCAACAAGTCCATCCATATTACCCATCCAACAGAGTGAAGTCTTCTTTGTCCCACATATGTGTGTGCACACAATATTATTTATAAGAAAACCGTACCATCTTATAACAAAAAGAAGGATAAGCACGGAAAGTTATTGGTGTACTTCCTTATCACTCAGTTGATAGCCTTTGAACTTCTATCTAAATGTACATGTATCCTGAAAAAGTCGACTGATAGGTAAATAACCATTACTATAAGAAAACATGCAATTTGAGTGTAACACCTATTCAATCAAGTAACCAGAAACCAAATGCGTGATCAGTATGAGATCAACCCGAAGTAACATTTCTTTTCCAATACTTAAATTTACATTTCTTTCTGATAACACTTGACGACGTGCACCCTAGGCATATATCACATTCTTGCTTGTTATTTCCTTTTTTTTTTTCGTGTTAAGATTTCACTAGAAGACTTTATTTTTATTTTTTGGATTGACTTCTGGATATTGATCCTGTCATGAGATTTAAGTATTGCAAGCCTCAAGTACAAGAGTTTCACCAAAAAAGAGAAAAAGGAACATTTTGTGCCTGTCAAACAGTTAATGAATAAAAAAGGAGAATGTCACATAAGTTAAATTAAGCATGAAATGGCAACTACAAGTTTGACTAAAAGAGAGGGCAGAACAGGGAAATTAACTACACGAAGCTGTAGTCTTATGTATCACCACGCTTTAGTATAACTCCGTTTATTCGCTGATTTAATGACTATAATGATGCATAACATCAACAAAGATACATATCAAAAGCCATAAAGCATACTTGCAGTTCAAAACTTCTCCAGAGCTGGAATAACCAAGATTGCTCAATAGCACGATGCTATCTTGATCAAGCCTCTCACGAATTCGAGAAACATCTATCTTCTTTACTTCACCCGTTGCTGCATAGTCGATTCCTTCTACAACTCCTCTCCTCTGCAACAAAATTATAATGAAAATCACAAGTCAATCTCATGGTCATATTTGATGCCAGAAAATTTAAAACCCAAAAAGAATGACAAATACATTTCATATATTTACGTTAGGCAATGAGGTCATATTCTCACCTTTGCTGCTAGAAAATTACCACTGGCAACACTAACACCATCATGCCAGCGACTATTTTCTCCATGCCGGCGGACACCAGTCAATGACGGCCCAGGAGACAATTTTGCCTCTATCATCAGACGAATTCTCCCAGCTGCATCCATTGCAGCCATCAGTGAATCAGGATCTGTAACTCTGTAGCGGCCTACATACTTGGGCTCACTTCCTGTGAGAAAGAGTTATCAAATCACTTAACTCTGAGAATATGCTTCATAGAATAGAGAAAAATTGTAGTTAAGGGAAAATAAAATTGACATAATAGTGATAACTAAAAAGAGAAAAATAGAAGATTTGAATGGTAAATAGCATACGCTGTTAAACTCCTTTGCATACAACTATTGGTTATTTTGAAATGCAAAAGGTGGTTGTTTTCTCTTTCTTCTATGAAAGAAAAGGAATAACCGTAGCTTTGGGTTTCTCCATGTTAATTGTAGCAATATTTGGGAATGTATTATAGTCAATGTAATAGAAAATAGGATCTTGCATCTAAGCTTTTTACTAGATTATGTGCTCCAGCTCATCAATAGCTAGTTGATCAAGCTTTAACCTGAATTCTTCACTGTTTAGAGCAAAACCAAAGCAGTTTCCCCCAGGCAACAGCCGTGTTTAGAGCAAAACCAAAGCAGTTTCCCCCAAGCAACAGTCTAGCCAAATTGGACAGACAATACTATTTTAGACTTTCCTGAATTTCATTGGCTTAATGTCTTCGGAGTTTGTTATATAGTAACATATTTAGATACTTCTCCTCATTTAATAGGAAAATAGATGTACCAATTCAGGAACACCATCTATAGGATGAAAACAGTAAGACAAGGAAAATCAACATTCTTAAGCAAAATAAACATTTGAGGTAAAGGGCAGCCCGCGCACGAAATACCCCGCGTTTACGTAGGAACCGTGGAAGGGCTACAACCCAAGGGAATGTGATATGGGCAGCCTAACCTAATGCAACCGCTAGTGGCTGATTCCACGGCTCGAATCCATGACCTATAAGTCACATGGAAAAAACTTTACCGTTGCTCCAAGGCTCTCCGGCGAAGAAATATCAAAATGAACAAGAAAAGAAAATAACAGCATTTTTCTCACCCCTTTCAGCCAGAAAGCTATCAATCTGGACATGAGTTCCAGGTACAAGAACAAACTTGATTCCCAAGCCATGAAGTAGAGAAATATCCTGCAAATTTTATGAGTAAATAGCATAAGCCAGCTGTTCACCTTAAAATCAAGCACCGGCAGGGCAGCCCAGTGCACTAAGCTCCCACTATGCGTGGGGTAGGGGGAAGGGCCGGACCACAAGGGTCTATCGTATGCAGCCTTACCCTGCATTTCTGCAAGAGGTTGTTTCCACGGCTCGAACCCGTGACCTCTTGATCACATGGCAGCAACTTTACCAGTTACGCCAAGGCTCCCCCTTTGTTTGTTACTGAAAGTAAAGTAAAATCAACAAAATAAAGAACTTGCTATTACATAAAATCAATCACTACTCAATCTCAAACTAGTTCAAATCGACTATATGAATCTTCTACATCCATTTCGCTTTATTTTGAAAATCTTAACATTTGTGTGAATTAGAGTTCTTTTAAAATTAAAACTTCTCTAAATCACACTAAAAGGGAGAAAAATCTCCATCCCCAATTTATGAGACGTGTTTGACTTGGCACAAATTTTAAGCCATAAATATTTGTGCGGCTATAAATAATCTCATTAAGATTATAATAGGAAGTTAAATTTAAACTATTTCTAAATATAGAAAATCTGCATTTTTGTGAAAAAGAAAGAATATTACGCAAATTAGGATAGATGGAGTAGAATAAAAGCTTAGGAATAGTAATACTAATGTTTTACGTTATATACACTGTAAGCATATAAAAATTATACTATCTGATCACATTTACCTAATTACAAATTTCACTTAAATGTACTTTCCTGATAACGCAAATTTTTTTTTTTTAAAATATACTTGAACTCTAATAATATGGATAAATGGAAAGACAAAGTTAAATTTAGAAACGTGCCATGAGAAGAGGATCCAAATGAGGGCTGCTATCAACAATTTCAGCTGAGATAAGAACAACAAAAGTGCTGCCTCTATGCGCTAGAAAATAAGGCCAAGCTTCTCGAAAAAATCCCACGAATATATCGTCCTTTATCGCATTACTCACGTCAAATAAACCGGCATTCTCCGTTTCACCAAAAACGTTGCACTTAATTGAAAATCTCTTCGCCAAATTAACTCCAAATGATAACAGCTTTCGTCCCGCTTGGAAATTATTTCCAATTCGAGGTATCAAAATTGGTTGCTTGCATTGTTTTATTGAAATTGGAGAACAAGGGCTTGAAGCTGACATTGGGAATTTTGTGGTTTTAGCAAGAAAATGAAAATGCCCCTCCGATAAGTAATAGCACTACTGCTGATATTTTGCGGCTACTGAATGGATGGAAAATTGAGGAAGAAATGTTGTGGAAAGTCGGGAACAGACATGAACCGGCAACTGGTTAACCGTCGACCCGGTCTGTCCAGTCCGACCGGTCTTCTTCTTAATTAGCCACCATTATATTGAACGGTGGTGTAAATACTCTCAGTCCAGAATGTATCACGATTTTAAGCTTTATAGTTTTATGTTTCAGGATAGCAATATTATGTGTTTATAATTGAATTTTAAATTTAATTCAATTTTCATTTTTATATATTTAGTTGATTTATACAAAATAAAGTTTGAATTATAGTTATTGGTCGACCGAAGGCATACATCACCTTCTAGTTCCGCTCGATATATATATATTTAGGGTGTGTTTGATATGAGTATTTTTTGAAAAGTAAGTGATTTTTTTCTTCTTATTTTTCAACGTATAGTAGATAAGATAAAAAGATAGTTTTCCAAAAATACTTATTGTTTTTTAGTAATAAGTTGCATGCTATTCTGATCAATCAAATAAGAGAAAATTAAAATATTCACCTACTACCAACTACTACCAAATACATCTATAATCTAAATTGTTTTTGTTTTATTCTCCCTCTTTTTCAAATTAATCTCCTAATGAAGGGCCACGTTTAATTTGTGATCATTAAAGACAAAGCTGACACACAAAGTGGTGCTATTAATTGGAAGCGAGCTCTTACGAGAATCTTATTTTGTTTTCAGACACGTGAATCACATGCACGCACATATTGGTCTACCTGAGTTATTCTATTGCCACTTTTCACAGGGAAGTCCATGCCTTCTTGGAAAAATTAACTATGGTCCTATTAGGGTAGGAGCGACAAACGAGCGGGTCGGGTCGGATATGGTTCGGGTAATAAAAAACGGATAAATTATCCGACCCAACTCATATTTAATACGGATAAAAAACGGGTTAACCGGCGGATAATATGGGTAACCATATTATGCATGACTTTTTGTATATGATCACTTTTGGAAGAATTATTAGTCTTCCTAAGTTGAGGAACCCCAAATTTGAGGCTTACAAATGTAAAAGCTAGACCCATTGATTATTTATTGGTTACCCATTGGTTATCCATTTTCTAAATGGATAATATGGTTCTTATCCATATTTGACCCGTTTTAAAAAAATTCATTATCCAATCCATTTTTTAATGGATAATATGATTGGTTAACTGTTTTCTTTTAATTATTTTGCCACCTCTATTTAGGGTGTCCAAGAGAAAATGGTTAGAATAGTCAATTTAATAAGTATTCTGTTACTATTATTAACTGAAGTACGCATAAGCTAGTCTCGGTACTATAATTATATTTAGAAAAAATAGAGTTACTAACAACAGACCTTCACCCACTTATTCCTGGCTAATATGTAGATTACCGTAATTGATTAAGAAAATCAATGACTTTATTTGATAACCAGGTGTTAATACTCCAATATTTAGAAATTCTAACCATAAGTTTAATGAATACAGGCATCAAAAGCATACAAAAATAGTGGAGTTTCCATCGCTTAAATTTAGGGCGATAGGGCACACCACATATACTACTAGAAGGACGCCCTAATCGATAAAAAAAGAGAAATACTCCTTACCATTTTATATGATGGAAAGAATCACTACACGAGTTAATTTGAGAAAGAATAAGTAGGTTCTTCATCAATCCATTGAAAATATGAAATTACGTATATAATTTCTGAGGAGATACTAAATTTACATATATATTATGTATAGATACTTTAAAAATTGCTATATTTATACTAAATTTACAGTCAAATTGTGGTTAACTACTCAGCTATTCTATAAGAAAAAAAATTTGGTGTTCAAAATCTGCTAATTCAGATTAGCATTTAAAAGATCAATACAGAAGCTAATATACCTGGAGTATAGAAGACAAATAAGGACTATGAATGATCTCAGCAGATAGAACAAGGACAAATGTGCTACCCCTGTGTGCTAGAAAATATGGCTGAATTTCTCTCATCATTTTCACAAATTCCTCTCTCTCATCTTCTTCAACTGTAGCAGCTGCCATTGGCAAATTATAACTAAAATAATTTTCAGTCGCAGTAATAACTCGGCCACAGTCAATGCTACTGCAGCAGCTCAAACGACTCCTCTGTATTTCATTTGTTCTCTTCCCCTCATGAGTTGTCAAAAAATTGTCTCCTCCCCTAATAAAAAAATCAGATTTTTTCCCCATTCCCAAACTCCATCCATAATTTAGTTTTAACATTGCCACGATCTTGAAAAGAAATACCAAATAAGCGGCGAAAAGGCGGTGTTTATGATCAATTGAAGACCAAAAAAAGAAAGTACTAAACGGTAGAAGTAAAGAGAAGACAACTTAGTTGGCAAATCTTGACGACATGTTTATGTTTTCGAACTGCAGCTAGCTCCATTGCTTCACTAATGAAAAGTTTCAGAATGGAAAAATTACGTAAAGAAGATGAAGTGGGAGTGGCGTGCTAAAGAGACATATTCTTTATTCGTGTATGTAATAATCATGTGTCCTTGGATAACACCATGGAGATCAAATCAATGGCTTACAACCATGAATTTAGCAAGAAAGAAAGAGAGAATTAAGGATATGTGGTAAAAACAGAAGGGGAGAAATAGATTTTAATTTGTGGGACTCAGTATATGGATTGTCAAGTATCAAGTCACAGAAACTAGGTAGATTCGTTTAGGGAAGGTATTCAAGCATTTTTCACGTCATGTGGTTGTTGGGAATTGATTATTAAATGTTGTACAACTATGATAGTACTAGACATTTTCACACTACATACACGCTACAGTCCAAGGCAGTATTTTAAAAAGCGTTTTCGGGACGAGCCCTGATGCGAGGCGTATCAAAAATGCCCCAAGATGATGGTAGGGGGTGAAAGTCTCAAGAGGCGTACGCCCTGGATGTTGAGGTGCGTTTTTCTATTGAGGCGTAAGCTCAAGAGACTTTTTCAAATTAAAACAAAATTTGTTGAATAAATCCTTAATATAATACCAAAATTCTCAAAATTCTACTTGTAATTACTCAAAATTCCACTTGTACAACTATGATCGATATGTGTATCACACTATGCATTATTTGTGTATCACATATTTATCATATGTGTATCACATGTATATCCATGCATACCTGTGTGTGAGATACATGTGCCGCAGAAGAATTCTTTAAACTCGATTTTAACGACGAATTTTGAAACCAAACCAGTCCAAATCACTTCCAATCTTGCTCAAATTTTGTATATTGCCTCATCTATATATTTTTAATAAATTTCAACCATACTCATTGGAAAAAAAAAACTATTTTGCCTAATTTTTTAAAAATATTGTATATTATTGGGAATGAATTTTGACTCCAAACTAGTCTAATTCACCTTCAAACTTCATCAAAATTTGTATATTGCCTCATATATGTGTTTTCAACGAATCGCAACAATGGCCATTAAATTTTTTTGGTCTATATTTTTCAAATGTTGTATATCATTGATAATATTTTTGGTTATTTTTTGTAGCGTGGCTAAAATGACTAGTTATTGGTAAATAGTGTATTTTTGGTTACATTTCCATAAATTTCCAAGAAATAATAGTGTACCTTGTGTTATATAACCGTTTGAACGTTTGATTAAAATAGTCACACAATTAGACATCGTATCAAAATGGGCGGAATCAGCTTGGTCACATAACTCAACATCGTAAAATTGTGGGTTCAAATCTCACTTGATCTCTGATCCAATATGAGAAAATGCATTACCACATGCTTAGGACCATGAAAAAGAATCAGATTGCACGTAAGTGGCGTACTAAAAACATAATTAATAGCTAAAAATATACCTCTTTGATATTTTAAACTTTTAAATGAGATGATCGTACAATTAAAAAGAGTGTTAGAAAAATATACATTTTTCGTTAATTGGTTATGAGGGCATTTGAGTAAATATGGAGTCTAAGATATTATTTAGCTTATTAATATATATATAGTATTGATGATTAACAATTGAGTTTATGAGAAAACATCATATCCAATTTAAAATTTGAACAGTCGCAACTTGGACAACTTCTATGAAGAAACAGTCACGGAAAAATTGTTTGCATAGTTGTAGGTTTTTGAAAATTTTTGTAAGTGTCTTGACCAGTGGCGAAGCCAGAATTTTCTTCAAGGGTGTTCAAACTTGAAATAAGTGGAAAAAAGTTTCCGACAAAGAATGTTCAATATATGTTATATACCTCTAAAACCTAATATTTTATCTATATACATAATGTAATTTTCCGACGAAGGGTGGTCAGTTGACCACCCTATAAGACACATGCGTTCGCCCCTGGTCTTGACCTTTGCGATTGATAAAAGAGCTTTTCTTCAAAAAACACCTCCTAACTACTTCTTCCAAAAAATAGTGTTTTTTTTAAAATATCTTGCAACATATTTTTGAAAAAACACTTCTAACAACTTTTGCAAGATTTCAAAAACGATACACAGGCAATACAATAATAAATTCTTAAAAATTATATATACGAGGTGGTGCTAACAAATTTGAAACGTTTCAAGAAGGAAAAGGGTGCTATAATTTAAAAGGAGAAGAATATATTTAATGTAGTATCACACACGTTGCCTTTTTTAGTCTGAATCACACAAATTATCAACGAACACTTCTCATTCATCTATTCATTTATGGTGGTCCCAGCTTTGTTATCTAATGTCTATTCTCTAGCATCATTAAAATTTTAACGGGAGGGATGTGCAGTTTTCTTCTCGCATTTAATATTTATATTAATTAATAAATATAGGATATGTGTTTATATGTATAATTTTATCACTTAATTATAATTAATTAATATATATTATCTCACTGTAAACTTAATTATAATAAATCAATATAATTTTGTGCAAACATGAAGTCCAGAGTAATTATTTACGTTCCACTATTGTAAATGGTAGGGGTGGAGGAAGGGTACACACTACACACTATAGCCATAGACACTCAATCATTTGTTAGCACGAGATTCCAAGAATTGTGCTCAATATAACTGCAGGGGCGGAGTTAGAGTACCGAAAGCGGGTTAGGCCGAAACCCACTAGTTTTGATTTAAATTTTATATTTGTCTTTAAAAATCTATCGAATATGTACAAATTATTAATTTAGAACCCTTAAAATAATTGAAATCCCGAACTCATAAAATTGAAATCCCAGCTGCCGCCTATATAAGTTTCCCAATGGCTACACCTTAGTATAAAAATATAAGATCTGGTGATGTTGCTAACCTCCCTTTTGTATCCGTCCGATTTTTCTCTAACCATCACCTATACAATAAACTATCTTTGTCATCATTCAAATATTCTGTTATTTTAATGGTAAAATTAATCCGGTAAGTTATATCTAGGCCTTTATTAATTGTTGTTAAAAGATCATATTAAATACGAATGATTTGCAATGGTCCCAAAAACTCTGTGTTTGTGGCTCAAGACAATAGAATAGAGGGGAGAGAAACTGATCAAAACCCAGTAGTAAAATGACTTTTACATATGTAGACAAACTTTATAACCTTTTAAATACAAATTGAAAAAGGATGTTCCAAGATTTCTTTCTCCCAATATTAATTAGTATTGCTCAGTAAGACGATTAATTTTGTCTGTATATCAGATTATTAATTAGTGCCTATTATGGAACTTTTCCAATTTGATGTAAATCCCAGGTCTTCTGTGTTAGCAGATTCAACAATGCACATGTTATTGATTTGTTTTATGTATTATTTGTTTAGCTTTTTTCTGCTATACATTAAGTCGGAGTCTTGGTACCACTGTCAAAGTTGTTATCATACGATCAAAATGATATAGAATTTCGCCGTGAAAAAGATTCTTTTTATAGAAGTGCAAGGTAAAACAATATACATAACTTTATAATTGATAGTCCATGAATACTTTCTCGGGCCCCACGTATAATAGGTGTATTAGAGCACCAAACTTGTTTACCCTTAAAATTGGGTAACAAATAAGCTTATAATGTGGTTTTAAAGACACGTGATTTCACCTTCGAGTTAGAATGCCCTCAAAATGATTGATACCAGAACAAGTAAAAATAATGCAAGGTGATGAACAAGAGAATATAAACTAAAAAGAGTCTTATATTGCTTTGATATGCGAGAATCCAAGTGCCTCACAAATGATTGGAACTCCTCTTTATATAGTAGAGGAATTCTAATTATGGTATACCTCTAATTACAGAAAGAAATCCCATGATTAACTAATTAACCGTCCTTGATTTGATCCATTCCGAGATTTCCACCATGATCTTCGACCAGTCACGGATATCTCGCCTTTATGTTATTATGCTATCTTCGAACTTGCTCGATGTCTGTCTTATTTGGTCTCAATCACTTCCGGCCTCGATCTGGATAGGTACCTCGAATCTCGAACTCGGTACCTTGTCCTCGTGCCTCGGTCTGATCTATCACGGGACCGATCTTCGATCCTTCACACTGGTCTCGATAAATCAGTAAAATAGGGTGGGCCTGATTTTAACCGTATACAGATAGTCCCCTTTTTTTGGAGTGTAATGACAAGAAACGAATTGAGCCTTCGACCCTCGACTTGTCATGACGTCATTCCCGTAACGTAAGCGGCAGATGTGACTGAAACGTCTCGTCGTTGCAGTTCCCCATGCATTTAATGCGTGCCAGTTGATGGTCGGCCACTAGTGGTTTCGAACCATCGCCGTGAAACCCATAAATAGGCCCTTTTCTCATTGATTCAAACTTTACTTTCAATTTTTTCAAATCTCCAATGCTTTTTACACCTTTTAAGTTTTCCCGTTCTGCAAAATCTCCAGGTTTTGTTGTCAACCCTCTCTCAAAACACCAAGTCTTATTTTCTTCTTCTTTCTTCAAACTCAAACCCAAAATGGTGGAAACGTCAAAAACTGTGCCGCAGAAAGAAACCGCCTCTTCGTCAAAGTCCGCCGGCGCCGCCGCCACCGAGGAACATTCTCTTGCGGACTTCGTTCCGACGAAGTGTGCCACTGCTACTGATTTCAAGGTGGAGAACACACCCTCGACACTGGGCCGATGTGAACCCATGTCTAGGTATATGTGTACGATTACCGAACGCCTCCTCGAGAAGGTGAAAGAGGAGTGCAACTGGGTAGGCAAGGACGTCGTGGTACCTAGCCCCGAAGAATCCATCACTACTTATAAGGAGGGATATCTGACTATCTACACTTACCCCTTCACAATAAGCCCCTTGGACTTGCCTTTTGCAAGAGGTATGATGTCACCCTTGGCCAAATCCAGCCATCACTTTGGAGGATCGTGCTCCTCCTCCGATTCTTTGTCAGTAAGATCGAGGGGCATCCTTTTACCCTCGATCACCTTATGCGCCTCTACAGACCTCGGCTTTATCGGGGAGGCATGATCAAACTTTACCGCCGAGCCACCAAGCCCTCGTTCTCAAGCATAGACGAGGCTCGAGACCGAGGTTGGATGGGCAGGTTTGTCCGAATAAGGACTTCGGATCTAATCCCCGCCGGAGATATGCCATTCCCTGAAAGGTGGAACATGAAACGTAAGCATTGCTTGGCCTTTCGTGTACCTATTATTGTCGTTCAGCTTTCTTTTTCCCCTCTACTAAGTTTTGTGTTGCAGCCAAGGCCGTTATGCCGGAAGTGATCCCCGACCTG